GCTGCTCCTCAGAAACCCTATACAGGGTCGCTATGGATTGGAACCGACTTGATGGCACTTCACAACAACAACAACATCCTGGTTCCAGGCTTGATTAAGTAATTGGAGTGAAAGAATTCTAGGGCCCAGGAGAGTTGAACTGGAATTAGTAACTACTCCCCAGAAGCAGGAAAGGATATTGTATCCTTAAAAAATGAATAGTTGGGAGGAACAAATGAACTCAAACAAGGTAACTATTTAAAAGTTCTACTAGTCAATCCAGGTTAGAGAGCAGTTATTTAATGATTAAGAAATTGTGTTCAATAAAGCCCTTTCACGATTTTACATGAAATCTGTACTTTGCTCACAGCTCTACTTTGTACCCCATTTTCCTGTTTGTTTCTTTCTCTTTATCTTTTTGGAAAGATTCACTTTGAAAATGCTAGCCAGTCTCAACTGTCCTAAAGAAAACAGGGTAAGAAAATTTTATCGGTACTCCAGCCTAAAAGAAAAAAGGCAGGAAGAGACATGTGGACTTCATTCTGTTGTCTCTCTCTTGTAGGCACCTTGCAAATAAATTGTGGACACAGTTTTACAAATAAGCCATGAAGTGATACTTCAGTGATATCCCCGCTCCCCCACCTGCCCCAGCCTGTTTCTCGAGCCCAAGACAGAAAGCCATAGCCAGGTACTTTACCTTCCATCGGTCCATCCCAGCTGTCGTCTGGAAGCTGTGCCGCTCCCACAGGTACATGCTCCTCTTCTGTGGAGTGTCTGTACCTGACAAAATAGATTAGGTCTTGAACATCATCAAGCACCGCAGCCTCTTCGAATATGTTGTTTTCCTCCATTCCTAGATCTTTATTTTCAGTCACTCGAGAATCGAGCATTTTTTCTGCTACACTCAGAATGTGTGTCTCCGAAGCACGGAAGACTTTATCTAGGACTTTATCCACGTTATTAGGCAGGCTATCCTATTGGGCTGACTTCAACTTTAATGACATTTCTTGGAACATGGCTTCCAGCTCATGGATATCAAAGTACTTCTGGAACTGCTGCAAAGATTGCTGTTCTTTAAAAAAGCTCCTGATTATAGGCAAATCCTTCTCACTGTCACTGTACTTGGGGGTCAC